GTCGGAGTGTAGCAGTGATTCCTGGAGAAAACCTGAAATGGTCAAGAAAAATGACTCCAATTGGTTTCTTCCCTGCTGGTTCAGTTGCTTCCTTCAGTGCGAAGTGTGTCTCATTCTTGGTCTGCCCTCTTAACTTTAGAAATCAAAAAACAATCCCTTAAAATAACTGGAAAATACAGTCCAATGTTTCAAAGAAGAAGCAAAATGATTTTTGTCGGCTCAGCATAAACTGAGAACCAGAGACTCCTAACTTATCACAACAAAATATGCGTGTCAGCTAATACCTGAAGCAAAGGTAAAAAATCGTATTCCCAAATTTGGGTTCCTGTTACATACTTGTGATAGAGTAATATAGTAGTTTTCAAAATTGGCCTGGGAAGTCAGCTGGCCTGGATGAATCTCTAGATCATAGGATTTACGTGCTACATGGCCACCAGCAAGTTACCTAACTCCTCTGTCTGTTTTTCTCATGTGAAAAGTGGAGAGTTGTGAAAATTAAAGTGATGCATGTAAAGCATTTAACATGCAGATCAAAAAGGATTTCTTAGTAAATAACAACAACCCAAGTTCTTTATTATTGGATCTTACCTTTTTGTTGCCATTTTAAAGAAAATGATGTATATATTATAAATTCTGATTTTCTTGGTATATGAATTAATAACAAATGTACTTGAGATATTTATTTATAAAGAGGGTTTACATAATATTTCATATTCAGAAAGGTTTATCTAGAGCCTTCAAGAAGATCATAGTAAAATTTTATTATCTTCTAATTCAATTTTTCCACAAACTTCTTGAAATCCCCTTTGTATACCTTTAATGTGCACAAAATGATAGAAAATTGAAGATTATCTTCAATTGATACTCATGGTATTCTTTGCTTAAATAAACCATTTTTAAAATGTTTGCTTTAAAAATTGTTTATTAATATGTTCTATATTACATATCGTACCCTCTGACTGAAAACTTTTTTTTTTTTGAGGTGGGGAATCACCACACTCCAGAAATAATCATCTGTAACAGGGACAGGTCCCAGGCATTCTGGATAAACAATCTTCTCAACTTGATATGTTTATGAAATATACAAAATATTTACAATACATACAAAGGCACTAATGATATCAAACTGCCAACATACATAACATCATAGGAGTTAAACCAACTGCGAAGCATAAGGCAAAATCACATATCAATAGCAGTTGGGTAGGGAAAGTGACATATTTCATTACCTGATCAACGCACTATTAAAGCAACATTTGAATTCATTTCACTTGACTGAGTGACGGGCTGCAAGCCTTTCCTTTTTGCTTTGATCACTGCGAAAACAATGTGAGGTCCCAATGCTCATGCACGTATAGTGTAATTTTCTCATCACGGCAAACTACACTATTAAAAATTATTTTAAGTTAAAATAGAATTTTTAATAGTTTTGCCAATTTTTACACATTTTCACAAACCCATCTTCTTGAATCTTTGATGTAAAATAAGCTTTTGGAGTACTTCATATTTCAGATGTTGAACAGAAATTAATTATAACAGTTTTTCAGGAGTCCACTGTTTCATTGTCAGCATGACTGGTTCTTCACACTGAAGATTCAGGGCAAAAAGGTGGAATGTAAGCAACACCACACAAGTGTACCAAAAAATACAGGCATATTGGCTAATGACTGGACTAGAAAAATACAAAAAAGGTGGAATTATATCAGTCATTTCACACTTATTCTTAATGTTCTCTTAGTATTAAGTATACCGCAAGACTTTATACTGATTGAAAGACTTTTTTCCTTTTTCTTTAGGAACCAAAACACGCATATTTTTGGTTTATCAGAATTAATTCCAAAAGATAGACTTCTTCAAGGGAAGTACGGCATTTAGTGCTTTATACCTAGACCCTTGTTGGACTGGCTGTTTGATGGCCGCTCTCGTTCTTTTGTGATTTCCATCTCAATTTTGGCTTTGATTTTCTCCCAATCTATTTGGAGCTGTAAAGGAAAAGAGGAAGCCTGTTTACAAAAGATATTTTACTGAATCTAATCAAATAGTAAACAAAAATAGACTTCCAAAACAGTGAAAAAGAGGCGTGAAAAAAGTAGATTCATGAAGCTGGAGGAAAAAACAACACAACGTAACAGCTTAAGAACAAGGCCAAATAGAAGCAGGAGTTCCATAAAAAGTCAGCACTTGTTGTGAGTCAAAAGCTCATACCTGGTTAGCAATTGCTAAAAGGCACCTGCAGACACTCTGGCACCTCGAGGAGCCCTGGTTGCCCAGGGGCTGGGCAGGCGTTGGGCTGCAAACTGGAAGCCTGCACTTGGAAGCCAGTGGCACCACTAGAGTTGATGGCACCCAGTGCAGATAGCACCCAGTGGTGTTATCCAAGTCCCAATGAACCTCCCTGAACCAGACCATGTAGAATCCTTAGTAATGTTTAATATCACTTTTAAACATAGAATTATATGTGAGAAATAAAGCTCTGCATTGCTCAAATGCACTACCTCTTAGATTATATAAATACTAACAAAATCGTAAACTCTATTTTGAATCACAATATTAGTTACAACATGATTAGTAACTGATCAGAAGCCCTTTGGGATTTTCCTCCTCCTTCTCCTTTAATTACTGGTTCATTTTCAAAAACAGTTACTGACAGAGGTTCACAAATCCTACTCACCACAATATTGTAGCGAAAGCATGAGAAAAACAGACAAAACGAGGGACCGAACAAAGACTGGCGGAAATGAAAACAGTGGGAGCTTGTACCAGATGCAGAAGAAACCACCTGATTCAGAGTGATTTTAATTGGGTAAAAATGACGGCTCCGACCCAAGTTCATTAGAAGGCTCAAAGAGGAAATTAGCATAGAGTTTTAACCTGGTAGCTATATTGATACATGGAAGTTGATCTTACAGAAAAAAAATGTTTTTTGTTGTTATAACTACCCACAAGAATATTTTTACAGAAAAGTAATGAATCTCAACTCAACACTGCACGGAAATTTTACAGACAGTCATTTTAGCGTCACTCCTCTTACAGTGTCAGCTAGTGTGGTCTGCTCTTCCCACGCCCCTTGGGATGTCACCTGGGGAACCTGCCAACTGCTCAATGGGAGAAAGAAGTGGCAGTCTGCTTCCTTCCAGATGACAGCCACCCTTGGAAACCCCGCAGGGCAGTTCTAGTCTGTGCTGGAGGGTTGCTATGAGTCAGAATCAAGTGGACGGCAATGAGTGTGGTCTGGCGCTGCAGCCCCAGGATTCTACACCGCTGACTCCGGGATGGGGGAGAAAGGAGGAGAAAAGGACAAAGTTTGGGCCACCAAGCCATGTTTCAGCTCGGCACCTCTTTCCAGCTCACACGCAGGGGTTTCCATTAGAAACCTAGCTGAGGGCAAAGGAGGGGACACATCACTCTCCGCAAGGACATTTTGAGAAAGCGGTGCTTTTGCAGCAACTCTGAAGGCAATGTGAAAACCCGGTGGCTGTGATGACAGCGATGAAAAGATGTTCGAGCCGTGGTTCTCCACCTTCCTCATGCTGCGACACTCGCAGACAGTTCCTCGTGTGGTGGGAACCCCCCAACCATACAATGACTTTCGTTGCTACTTCATCATTGTCATTTTGCTACTGTTATGAATCAGGCGACCCCTGTGAAAGGGTCGCGACCCACAGGTTGAGAACCGCTGTGCTAGAGGACGCCGCGAGATAGCAAGACTGGGAGACATATAACACATAATTAACAGGTGATATTATTTTTGTCTCGTTTGCATCAATTCTTGCTGCTGCTCCCCCTCCCCTAGTTCAGCCTTGCCTTTTCTCTGTCCTTATTAGGTTTTATGTTAAGAATGGAGTCTCTCACTAGGGTCTATGGATAATTTCTTTAGGAAAATACATTCTACTACTAAAAATAGATCTATATGGAAATGACTGATTTTAAAACGCATGCCTTTTCTGAAGCAAGCAAGATACACATGGGAAAAAATGGGTTCTAAGTTAAATGAGCTGCTTTGCTATGAAATACACCCAGATTGCTGACACTAAGCCAAGAGTGAAAAGGCTTTCACTTCCAAGTAGTAGAGTTAAGTAGAATACAGTTTTAAACCAGACTGAGATAGATATGACTTACGACTTGAACAGATCTAAGTAACTGACGGCTTGCTTTAGCCTTAACAGGATTTCATGCCACCTTCCTTTTGTGTTTGAAGTTGATGAAATTAAGGATTTGGTTCTTTTTCCTTCCAGTATCAAAAATTTCTGACAAGTAATTTACTGTGAACATTTTGGGTCCTCTCCTCTCTCCTCCTCCTCCTCCTCAGGAGAAAGATGAGGCTGTCGGCCACTGTACAGATTTCCAGGCTTGGAGACCCACAGGGGAGGCTGCCCTCTCCTATAGGGTTGTTATGAATCAGACTTGATGGCAGTGAGCTTGGTTTGATTTTCTTTTTGTTTGCTTTTTCTTTAAGCAACGAAACTTCTTTCACATATTTGTATAGTATATGTAGAGTAAATACATTCCTGTTAATTGGAAATGATGCCTGTGTTAAGATGCAAGTAACAATACACTGGAGGGTTAGACGATTTGAAAGACATTTGGTAAATTTTACATGGCAAAACATTCATTTCTATGTCTAACAAAACATTTGCAAAGAGAGACAAAACTTGATGAATGTCGTGGCATTCTTCCAGCCCTCTATTGACTTACATCTATGTCTCGAATCAATCACAATAAAACTATCTATTGATGGCATACTGAACAACTGCTGCTTTGTTGTACTAGAAGTCCATCTTTGTTGCAGGGAAGAAGTCCAGGCCTCTTCCCTGTCCTTATTAGGGAAGGCAACAAGAGGATGACATCTATACTAGTTACCTGTTATAATACAAATGAGCATGTCAGTGAACAGCTAGTTCACCTGGGCGTTTATCCAGCTTCAGAACAGTCTTCTATTGATCATCTGGTCCTTGGGTTAGAGCACTTTAATAGTAGCTTTCAGCTATGAAGAATGTTCTTCTGGCAGCTGTCAAATGACTGCTATATAAAAATCCAGCCTTTTCTCTTATAGGGAGTGTCAATACTATTTGCCACTCTAATACAAGTTCTTAGTTCTCCTTATTCACAGAGAAGCAATTTCAAAATCATACTAAATTGCTTTCCATTCTCTACCCCATCTTTCTCACATTCAGCTGAAAATCAACTTTTCAGAGAACATAGGCATAAATTCATTAAGTCCCCTCCTTGCTCTCACGCATTTAGACTAGGTGTATTCATCCTTCTCCCTCTGCCTTCTGTCTCAGGCCAACCGCTGTCCAGATGCCCTGATCCTCTCATC